CCCCCCCCCCCTACAGAGATAAAGAGCTAATTGGAAATCCCTCTACTAATTAACCTTCTGCAGGCTGAAAGGTATTTATATCCCCTGCTTTTTGATGGAGCGATAAAGACGAAGGGAGGGGAGGAGGGAGCGGAAGGAAAAAGGGGGCGAGAGAGCAGAGAAGTGAATGTGAACTAGCGGGTACAATAGAATGGGTGTCGGTTGGAGGTGGGTGCAAGTGAGTGAGGACGTGGAGATGCGAAATATAACATCCATTATTAATTGCTAATGTCTTCATTTTGCGATTACAATAAGCATCAGGAAGTCGGCCGTCGGTTTTCTTCTATCAAATCACAGTCTGAGGGAATGTGAGAGTTTTGGTGATTGCACATGGGGGATGTGCAAACAACTTCTGTTCTTCAGGAAGAGGGAGGAGGGGAGGCAAGCAACAGGGCTTCTGGGAAATGTAGTCTAATTTGGAGAAACACTTGCTGTTAATACCACTTGTGTGAGATACAGTTCAGCAGTTGTATTTACCGTGGTTTTGTGTGTTAGCAGTGATTATATTAGGATGTATGGTTCATTTGGCATTAATCTATTTATAGATAGATAGATATTATATTGTTTTTTTTAGACAGCGATACAATATTTGCTGATACGCAAAGTCTGCCACAGTACTATTCATATTCAGTTAGGTGACCTACGATCGATGTGATATGTGCCCATACAACACAACCAGTTACATTTATACCAGCTCACAAAGAGCAACTACAATAGGATTTGACGTGCCTTGGGAATTTCAAAAAAAGGCGCATCTTGAAGATGATGATACGGATTGATGTTTTCACTTTGCACCGATGATGTTGGTTTGTTGATCATTGAATCGATATATATATATATATATCAATCCAGATAGATGCATCGTGACACCTCTTCTAATGACGCATTCATTTGGTACTGGACCCACTGGACTTCCTGGATCCTATTTCATTGTTTCACCGGTAGCTCAAACAACACGCCCCCACCCACAAATACATGGGTGCGCTGGCCTCTGTGGGTTTAAAAAGTTGCAAGCGTCTTGAACTCTGACCACAGCCAACAACAACACAGCTGGGTGGGACCCGTTCTACCACAGCCATGACACTACAGTGCCACGCTACACCACGGATGCACAGGGATGCGTTAAAGAACATCTGGTTACCACTCGTTGGCAGTGCACGCAGGATCATTAGACTTGGTGCAGTTGTTCTTAAAATAAAAAAATAAAATATGTCATATACATACAGTTACATTCATAAAATGTAATCTCTGCTTTTAAACTTTCTTCAGCATTTAGCAGGAGGGGCAACTCGGGGTTCAGTGACACATGGACGGTCGGTGCCAGGGATCAAACCTCCTACCCTGTGGTTAAAGGGTGACCTGCTTAATCCACGGAGCTACAGCTGGTTCTTCAAATAACTTTATGTATCTCCAATAAATACAGGAACCAGTCGCTACCCACATCTTGGATTCAATTAGGGATTTAAATACGTCCTGTGTGGTGCTCATTGTTTATGGGGCCCTAATGCTGATTGTTAAGGGCAAAAAACATCAACCCGTCTCAGACAGAAGAGAGCAAACATGAAGAGGAAATCACACTGAAATACAGAAGTGAAACAAGAGAAATTATCAGGCCACAACCCTCCAGGCATCATTTAGTTTCTTCGGTCGATTTAAAAACGTTGTTTTAAAAGTAAAACCCGCAAGTCACCTGCAAACGTTTGTCCTATGGACACAGGTGTTGTGTAAAAAAAAAAGAGAAAATCTATTTTATTAAAAAGAGGTCTAAAGCTCAGGTGGCTTTACGTTCCGTCGTGTCCCTGAGTAGGACAAAGGACGGTGTGGATGTGCGTGAGGGGGGAAAGATAATGAAATCTAAGAGGAGCAGGAGTGACAGTTAGTGAGTCAGCCAGTCAGTCAATCAGTCAGTGAGACGGTGTCTAGCGGGCGGCAGAAGGTACAGTAATATATGTGGTGAGGGGGAGTGAAAGATCTCAGGAGAGTAGGAGTCGAGAGAGGAGAAAGGGAATCGTTTCAGGTTTCTATCATCTGCCATTCCACCTTTCTCTTTTCAACCTCCCCCCTCCCCTAGCAGGAGCTGACGGGGGTCTGAGGAGGGTAAAGTTACCCGCCGGCTCTCTCTCATTTCTGGTTACACACTCTTACTCACACTGCTCCGTCACGGCTGCCGAATAGATTTTGGTTTTCACTACTGCTCACAATTGACACTTTATTCTTTTCGGTTTTTTTCTGTCTCCTTAGTGATCTACAGAGAGGCAGAAGTGGCTTTGTTAAGGCACTGATATTCATAATTCAATCACTTAGCTTTCGACGCTATCTGGAGCCACTAATTATCAAATTTTGCTAATGCATCTTAATGTTAAATGATAATTACAGTGTGGGCAACTGGCCCATGATTCATTAGCAGGACAAGCTAGATGAGTCAGGATTTTTAAATGAAATACAGTAAATACATTCGATCTGTTTGGTGGAGATGATGATTGGTAACATTTAAAAAAAAAGAAAAGCCTCCAATGTGTCAGGAACAGGCTGCAAGAGAAAACAGCTCCCGGCTGTGCCTCAGGAACCGAGGCTACATCTATCTTTCATGAATAGCAGTAGTGCTGCTGGCCAAAGCGATTCAGCGGGTCAGGCTGACGGTTCAGCTGTAAAGACCAACCTGGAGTGTGGAATGGGACATGTTGAGTTACAGCTCCAGAGACCAGTTTTGAGTTTTGTCTAGAGGCAAATGCAGCTGAGTGGCAACACATACGGAGGTCTGTGGACTGTATTGAACAGCAAAGCTGTGCTGACAGATGGTCTGGTAACACTGCAGGTCGTTTCAGCCAAACAATCTGGTAACTTATTTCCCAAAACTTAAAAGTTTACGGGATAAAAATGACATTTTGGCTTAATTCAGTGCCTCACATCTTGTTGGAGGATCAATTTGAAGAAACCCATTTTATATATCTTAAGCTCAATCTATATAGAGATGTACATCTACTGTGGAATTAAGAGCCGTTCTCACGTTGCGTCTAAAAACGTGTTGCCGTCATCTTTTTGTCCGAGGTGCTTGGGGGGGTTGTATGTCGATCTTGCTTTTGAGTGTGCCTACCACGTTTACCGCATTGACAACAATGCATTTTGGGTGTAAAAAACAGCTGCATGTGAGCGGCCCCTTAACTTGTGCCCACTGATTCTGACCACGAGTCTGGGAAGACATGTTTTTTTTCTCTCTCCCTGAAGGTTACAGGCTGCATTAAATGTGAACATATATCATATCTTTTACATGACGCTTTGCTTGTTTTTCAGTTAAAGAACCACGGCCCCAGCTTCACTCGTCTACATGCGCCCTGGCCAGTACTGTGTCGGGAGGCTGAGTTTCTCAAGATTAAAGTCCCCACCAAGACGGTGAGATCACTGGGTCCATGTTAAGTAGCTCTTTGTTGCTGTATTCTTGTTATTTCTGTGGACAGAAGAGACAGACACCGAGAGAGCAGAGGAGCTTCCTGTATGTGGCTCAATTCTGTTTGTTTTTTACCTTTATTCCTTCAGGGAAGTTGTGCACACTTACACACAGTCACACTAGGAAGCTGTCCAGTCTGACCACAGTCTGTTCTGCTGGCCACTGAGCAGCTCCACTGGAGTGCTTGGGGTTAAAGGTGGTGGTAATGAGGGAGGCAGGCTTTATCCTTATGCTGATATTCAAACTAATAATGTCTAAGGGTTTCATTTCTACAGGGCCACTTGTATTATTTTCAAAGATATATTTTCTATATAAGGCCCTTGAATGCGCAACACGTGTAACTGATTCTGTGTTATGTGTTTCGTCAGAGTTACGAGCTGAAAGAGGAGAGTGGTTTCGGGTCCAGTATGAGCACAGTGTGGAGGAAAATGAACCTCCCGTTCCAGCCTAAAGTACCTCACCAGGAACAAGAACGCACCAAATTTCTCACACACTGCTTCACCAGGGACAAACTCCACCTGTGAGACACACACACAAACACACACACACACACACACAAATTCTGCCGAATTTAAAGTGTTTCAAGTTTTGAAAGAATAACTGATTAATTATCTTAAACTGAAAAAACTACATCCATACTCGGGTTTGGTACCAGTAGCTTAGGTGGCTAATGTTAGCTAATATGAGCAAACTTCACATGGATATTGTTCTGTGACATTATTGAGTGCTTATGACACACACGATGCACTTTTACAACCTTAGCATAAGTCACCATGCCAACCTTGTATCCTACATACTGAGTGATTGTAGGCTACCAGTATTATTTGAGGAAATAAGATCCAGTAACAACTATTCCACTGAATGATCAGATTATTTCTGATATGCGCATGTTTGCATGTGGTACGCTACATAAATACAAGGATGTAAAGATGTACAAACAGAAAGTGCACACATGCATGAAGTGTGTTTGAGTTTTTTATTCATTGGCTGTGTTTCTTTCAGATACAACATCACATCTAAAGACACGTTCTTCGACAACGCCACACGGGGCCGAATAGTGAGTGTTCATCCGGATTTTAATCTGATTCTCCTTCAACATTTGTCCAGGATTATCTTGCATCCCCAGTCTGATATTCTCACATCTGTTTTAGGTATATGAGATCCTGAGACGGACAGTGTGTGTGCGAACCTGTCAAACCATAGGTAAGGACAGTGTGTGTTCGTGTGTTACTGGACATTTGCAGCCCATACCATTCCTTTGCATTCTTCACATTGATGTGTACGGTTCATTTTGACGAATGCTATGCTTGCTGCAGCATTCAAGGCAGGGTTGGTAAACCCTAAGAGTGTGCTCGATTTAAAAAACGTTTCAACCGAAAAACCCAGCCCAGTGTTACCGACTCTTTTCCAATGAAAGTGGCTAGCGTCATTAGCTCCAAAAGTCGCTAAATCTCCTTGGCCTTCAGGCCTCCCTCCTTGCTTAAAAGAGCAAAGGCCTAAAGAAGAAGTCATGAATCACAAAACTGTAAAAAAAACCTGGTTTGGCTCAATAAAAGTGCTTTATGAGCCTTTGTATTAGATATGTTGTGATGCCGATCACTTTATCATACATGAATACTATCCTCCATCAGGTCAAAAGCAGTTTGAAGGGAACATATCATGCTCAATTTTGGGTTCATACTTGTATTTAGGGTTTCTACTAGAACATGTTTACTTGCATTATGGTTCATAAAACACATTATATTTCTCACACTGTCTGTCTGAATACACCCCGCATTCACCCTCTTCCTGAAACGCTCCATTTTAGCGCCTGTCTCTTTAAGTCTTGCTCGCGGAAAAGCCCAGTCTGCTCTGATTGGTCAGTGTTTTTGGGGGACTCACTGTGTACGAGTTTAGCTATACTTGTATAGTGACATCACAAGGACTCGCATACGTATGAATTTCTCCCTAGATTCGAGCATTATGATATTTCCACAGTATTAACAGCACCTAGATCTGCTTTATAACCAATTTCTACAATATGTCAATATGAGGTTGGAGTATTGTGAAACTTGATTGGATTGGCAGTTTTTGCTATGAACCATCTACAGCCTGGTAAATTAAAATCCCAGCTCTAGGTTGGGTGACAGTTGAGTCACAGAGAATGAACAACATCTCAATCAGCAGATAGATAGTGGTCGAGTGAAAAGCGCGGGTTGTGTCCCTTTAAGGGTAACATTAAAACCAGGCGCATTGTGTTAGATGTTTGGCTGTGACAGCGCAGGGTAAATGGCGAGGTGCAGTCAAGCGGAGTGTCAGACAAACAAGGAGTGCCTCCTTTGAACTCTAATTTGTTTTGTTTGGGCTTCGCAGCAACACCGTTCCCATTGGGCGGTTCTTAGAAAGTGGCTACGCTCATTTATGATATGTAGAGAACAGCTGCCTTTGCATGCATGAGACCCACCAGTCCCATTTAGAAATGAGCCCGTTTCATTTCCAGTGTCCACCATATGTCTGGTTGGCGGTCCCACCACGGCAGAAGGTCTGAGCCAGAGGCTACTGAGGGTGCCGCAGGGGAAGAAGGGGAAAGAAAATGAGAGTTGCATCTCTTTAACCTCTATTTTTCTCTTCCCTTTTCATTATTGGTGTCCACATTTTGCCTCACACACACACACACACAGACACACAGACAGAGCCCACTCCCCGTGTCTCTCTCCATCTCCTCTACAAGTGGGTCACACTTCTTGGGTCAGGCAGAGACTGAAGCGGGGCGCCTCTGGGAGTTGTAGTTGTATCTAGCCAGTTGAGTGAGCATTCATACGTTTGTATTGCGTGTCGTGAGTTTCGAATAATAGCAGCACAGCTAATCACTGCATCCCCCTCCAGCTTTTTTTTGAGGCACCGATAACTTTGATGAAAGAGCCGGTCGAGTGTGCCAGGTCATCTGACGTGTCAGCGTGACATTCACAGGGTCAGGCCAAACCCGCTTCCACACATGAACATTTTCCAAGGACTAAAAGCGGCACCTGCGTAACCGAAATCCCAGCGCGCCTCGACACCGAGAAGCAGAGTTATAACGGTGCGCGACCTCATGTCTGCACCGCACACAGAGCAGTGTTGCAGTGCTAGATGTAAGATAAATAGCAGTAGGTGCCTCATTTCACGCCTCATCTCGGTGCAAATTTGGTGTAAACTCGCTCCTTAATGTCAGTGACTCAACTATTACTTCACTGGCGGCTTGGATTTCTCCCGCCCAAACTACTACTGAAGTTTTAGGTTGAATTACGGTTCTTTTCCATCATCCCTTTCCCTCCAATGGATACAGTACATGATTAGAATGTAAAATATAAAGCTACACAAAGGATTCAATGATGATCCGGGGGACAAGGTAAGAGGAGAAAAGCACCCCCGAGTGCTGTTCAAATACTCCCTTAGGGTTGTCTATAATGTCTCTTCTCTCTCTCTCTTTCTCTCTCTCTCTCTCTCTCTCTCTCTCTTTCTCTCTCTCTCTCTCTCTCAGGCATCAGCACGTTGATAGCTAAAGGAGTGTATGACGCCGCCTTCCCTCTGCACGATGTAAGTGTGAGGTCGGGAATTCCCAGGAGACGCCCATCGATTTCAGTTTATTTCGTAGCGGTATTCAATTTGCGGAGAACGGAAGATTGCTTGAAAAAGGAGTCGCAGGGAAGCTTCGTTGCATCCTGCATTTTGTATTTTTGTGCGACAGGTGCATGCAGGTTCTGCGGCGTTTTGCTTCTGTAGCCACGAGGCCAAACAAATGTAGAATGGAAGAAAAGATCTTCAGCTGCTGAAGCTAATATTCTCAAATGTTATAGCTATCTTCAAGCACATTAGAGGCACAAACTAGGAAGGGGGCTCACAACAATCCCTGCTCTCAACTGCATTGTCATGTTATGATGAGATGTCCTCAAACAATTGAAAGGTTAGTAAGTGAGAGACACATAGTAATCTCTGCAGGGTGATTTTTTTCCTCTTGGGGCGTAGCTTTTTGTTTTTCAATGCATATTTTTTGTGTTCATGCATATTTCATCAATTTTGTCAAGAATGTGAGTTTATTTTATTTTTTTCAAATGTTGAACGTTCAAACTCAGCCCTTCTAAAAAGTCTATAATAAACTGTAGAGAAAATACAGACGATCTGACAAAAATGTCCAAATTCTTTACAATTTGACACCAGATTTAGTCATCTTCTCATGTTTGCCCTATGGGGCAAATACATGCACTAGGGGCATCCCTGTTGTATTATGGAGCACTGTAGTGTTTGATGCAATTCAGCTAAATCAATGTTGTCACTCATCATTGACATATCCCAGATTATAAAAAAACACAAAAAAAATCCCCCCAGCATTTAGTATACAGAAAATTAATACATTTTTCAATGTTTTTTTCCCCACAACAACAGTGGCATTATATCATTAAAAGGGTTAAAACTCTGAAAACAAATGAATGTTTGGAAGGTATGATCAGGACTGAAGATGGTTAAAAGATTTAACTCAGAGAAAGTTTAAAATAGTATGAATCTATACTTTCATGGCATTTTTTTGACGAGGACATTTTGTCCTCTAAAGACACCAGAGCAAAGAGCTGCACAATGGGTAAAAGTAAAGTTTAACCAGTGCAGTCCTAAAAGCCAGTTCCATATTCATATTGTGTGTGTTTAGGTGTGCACGGTGTGCTGTCTGTGATAAATTTGTGTGCGTTTGCATCCCTGCGTTGCACTCACCCTCTCTTCTCGCTCCTCAGGGTGACTATAAAGTCATCGGACAGCTGGAGGAGAGGAGCGACAGACAGGTAGACGACTCCTCTCTCATCCCTCCATCTTTCTTCATCTCTCCCGTCTTCCCTCCGCTTCTCCTCCTCCTCCTCCCATTCATTTGTCCGTCTATTCAACAAACTACAAAAAGACTGCCACTGCTCTAGTTCCTCAGAAAGTGACCTTGCTAATGTGATACAGTGCTGGAGCCATTTAGTACGCTGGAATAGAAAATATGCAAAAGTCTGCTGTGCGCGACTTTTTCATTTCGCTGGAAAGTAAGGGATGCTCCTCTTTTTTTAGACACTAGTTCCCTCTATGTAATCTTCATCTCTTCTCCTCCTTCCTTTCTGAGAGCATCCCTCCATCCCATCTGTGTAACACCGCCACAGATTGGGGTTTAAGTTCAACAAATATTTCTCAGAAAACAACATCCGTCGGCAGACTTGAATTTCAAAGGAAGGAGCTAAACAAAAACAGTTTTTTGGAGTGTAGGTTAGCACAAAACAACAGCAAACTAAATATAAATGACAAGCATAAACATCAACTTCTGACTGACCACGATAAACCATCGTTTATCGTGGTCCTCCTTTCCCTCCCTTCTCTTGGCTTTGGCAAAGTGTTACTCAAACTGTTCTTTGACTTCATCTGCTGAGGTTTAACTCAACCAATCAGATTATTTCTGCCTCCGGATCAGCTCGGCCTCGGAGGATAGTTTGTTGATTTCTGACTTGCTACATCTAGTAAGCATACAACTCACACCCACACTGACTCGTTCCCATCTGTTGCCAGGTTCTGCACGATGAGTGGGCCAGATACTCTGCCTTTTACAAGTACCAGCCCATTGATCTGGTCAGGTAATGTCGCCGCAGCATCACCACACGATTTTGTTTTCATCTAATTGTCAACCCAAGATATAAGATGTTGCAGTGCATTGTGGTTAGTGTAGTTCGCTAATAGGCTTTTGTTGTTTGGCAGGATTTGACCTTTGACCTCACGGATATGTGTGTATTCAAAAAGACTTTGAACTTGTGAAAATTGAGGAGGAGAATATTACACTTTGAACACAAAAGATCAATGATTAAGACAGTATTGTTCACTCCATGACTGTGTTCCGCCCTCAGCAAGTACCACCAATCAAAAGAGCACGTATAAGGATGGTAAAGACCCCGAAAAGCCTCTTATTATGATTAAAGGGTCCGACATGACCAATAGATTTCCTGCCCAAGTTTGGAACAGTTTGGATTGTTTCTATGAGGGCTTTTTGTTTTTGTCAACCACACAGTCCTGAGCAGGCGGAGTCTTCCTAGCATAGCAGGCAGAGCTTGTACCCTAATCTCAAAGGAAGTGCTTCGTGAAACACTTGGCGTAAACAACGAGAGCCCTAAATAAAACATCGGCTTGCTTCTTACTCTATTTAATGATCAAACTCAGCATGAGGGTTCTCACACCTGTGTTGCGTGCTGCTTAAGTCTACACAGTCTCTTATTTTGCCATGGCTGCTGCTGGCACCTTCCCCTCCTAATCCCTGACCTCTGACCCCCGCAGGAAGTACTTCGGGGAGAAGATCGGTCTGTACTTCGCTTGGCTCGGTGTTTACACTCAGCTGCTGATACCGGCCTCCATAGTGGGAATCATTGTGTTTTGCTATGGGGTGGCAACAGTGGATACTGACATACCCAGGTACTGCAATTTTTACACCGGCGACAGCGTAATTTGGTGGTCAAAGGTCACTGTGACCACACAAAAGTCCATAACTCAAGAATTCCCATCACAGTACTGATATTCACTTTGAAGATGTTAAAGATATAATATGCAGCACTTTAATTCCAAAACAAAACAAAACAATGTAGAGATTTATAGAAAATATTCCTTCTCGAGCATCACTTCTGACCCACTAGAAGTGTGTGGCGGTGCCTGTATCTGCAGAGACCACGCCCTCTGCCTGGATTTTCTCCTTTCTTCCTCTTTGCTGTGTTCAGGAAGTTCCTTGGCGTCAGAAAAGAGAATTTGGGCGCCATGTGGGGGCCGTCCTTCAATTAGAGGATTGGCGGTTCGATCCCCGGCTTTGGCTCCGCTAGTCGCATGTCGATGTGTCCTTGAGCAAGACACTTAACCCCAAAATTGCTCCCGTAACGGTGTATGAATCAGATATAATCTGAATTGTAAATCGCTCTGGATAAAAGACTGTAATGTGTGGTTGTCTTAAAATGTGCTGTAGAGCGTAAACGCTGTGAAATAATCTCAAACCAATGACGAGCCCGCACGACCATCGCTGTTCTCTCTCTCTCTCTCTCTCTCAAAAACAAAATGCTGCACATTATACCTTTAAGTGACAATGATGCCAGATAAAATCCCACATTAGAAGCACAATCATGATTTATTCCCACCACAAATTAAATGTATGCACACATGCCGTTACACACACACACACACCAGACAGGGATTGCCCAGATACCTGCTGTATCTGGCTTTAGACAGGCTTGTGTGGGAGGAACACAGAAGGTACTGCTGGCAGTGTGTGTGTGTGTGTGTGTGTGTGTGTGTGTGTCATGAAGCAAAAGGTTGATAATTCCACCTACACTGACTACGAATCGGGTCAAGGCAGAGAAGCTTGTATTGTGTTAACGTGTTTAAAGTTCCATTCATTTCTAATGGTTAACACAGACACAAGGATGTCCTTTTTTGTTTTTTTGTTGTCAGATCTTGGTGCTCTGTGACTTAACATTTGATCCCCCCCCCCCCCAGTCTGGAGATGTGTGACGAGCGTCTCAATTTCACCATGTGTCCTCTGTGCGACGGAGCCTGTGACTTCTGGCAGCTCAGCACGGCCTGCGGCACCGCCAGGGCTTCACACCTCTTTGACAACCCCGCCACCGTCTTCTTCGCCATCTTCATGTCCCTCTGGGGTGAGGTTGTGTGTGTGTGTGTGTGTGTGTGTGTGAACAGGTGGGCTTAAGTCGCTCATTGATTTTGTCTCATCTTATGACCTCCTGCACCTCCAGTGCAAGTCCTGTAGAGAGCAACAGGCTAAAACAACGTAAGAAATGCAGCAAATATATTAAAAACAATCTAAAATGTAAAGTTTGCAGTCCAAATACGTCACACTTCGTCCACTTTTTCTCTTCTTTTTTCAACACCTAAAGTGTGAGAGCTGTCCATGCCAAGAGAGGATGTTGTTTACTGTAAAGTGGTATTAAACAGCATGCTCCTCTAGCAAAACAGCTTTTAAATTTCTGCAGACAAAAGGAAATCCTCCTGAAAATCAGTTTAAACCGTTACAAAATATGGATATCTGTCATTGAAAAAAAAATAGATGACACTGGAAACGGTAGTGTGTTAAATACTTAAGCCTTTTCCAGAACTTTCAAGAGTTTGGAAGCTCCAGAAAATAATTTACTCAAGTTGAAAAAAAGACTGAGCTTTGCAGATTACATAAAACCAGTGCTTCTGGTAACTTCATGGTGTGGATTTTTAAGACTTTGCAAAAGTAATGTTTGTAAAAGTGGGCAACAGTTCATGAGCTTCTTTTAACCAGCAGTCACATCAGCGATCAACCGATCATCGCCAAACCCATGAATCCTAAAAGTGGATGATTTCATCAAAATCATTTGACTTGGTTGTGTGTGTGTGTGTGTGTGTGTGTGTGTGTGTGTGTAGCGGTGCTGTTCCTGGAGCACTGGAAGCGCCGCCAGATCAGTTTGAGCTTCAGTTGGGATCTGACCGGCATCGAGGAGGACGAGGTACACGCAGCACACACACTCATAGAAGTTCACTGAAGCACATGCTGTATGTCAGCACCAATATTACTCCTGCTGTACAATACCAGTTCCTGGAGATACTGGCATGTGCATACTATACAAGTATCTGACTCTTTCTCCTCAGGAACATCCCAGGCCAAAATACGAGACCATCCTCCTCCAGAAGAGGCAGAGGAAGCAGAAAACTAGGAAGAAGAAGAAAAAGAACGAGGTAGGGAACCACTTGCTATCTAAACGCTGAGGACCACATTTCCCACAAAGCCTGTTTACGTACCTAACTAAAACACGGAACATGTGTGACTTCCATTCTCGTAGCTGGACCTGACTGTCAGCAATACCAATGGAAAGGTATCACACAGTGAAACTCTTATTTCACTGCATGTTGTGACATTAATTTGAGCAACAACAGGTTTTAAAACACACACACACGGACACACACTATATGTTCCCATCATGCCTTGCGAATACTGTACTGCGCTCTGTGGGTGAAACAAACCGCTATCAGTTGGTCATGAGACTCTTCCACCTGGCTCAGTCGTCACATTTTGGAATCGGACGGCTCCCGATGAACCAGATGGATCCTGAGAGTTTGCTCTCCAAAGCGTGAGTCAAACATTAGTGTGATAATCTGATGATTGGGATTGATCTAGATTCCCCTCTGGAAATTGGGTCAATCACATTGAGTCCCGTTGGCCCACATACACGTCGCTTGGGCAACAGATGGCCTCCTGCCACGGCCCGAGTGAGGCAGGAGCTGATTGGGCGCAGTGCGCGACCACCGCCACAAACATCCCAAACCCTGATCTGAGGACAGCAGTACAGGAAACCTGGAGGATCCCACTGGTGTCGACACACGCCACCTGCTGGCTGTGTTTCCGGAAAAGGAATTGAAATGGTTGATTATTTATGGCAATATGAAAGTGATAAACACAGTTCAATTTGTATATATTTTTAATAATAATGTTCACAGTAAGATGACGAGGCAGTTGCTATGGAACGTACGCTAGCAGCTAGCATATTTCTATTTTCCTTCACTGGCTAGCGTTGCATTGATTTGGATTGCCTTCATGTGATATGTGGAGGTGTGTTGAGGATGTTTCTCTTCTTTCTCCAGTCCCAGAGTTTTGGTTGTCAATAGCTTTGGAGAAAGGTTTCCTTTATGGTCATGATCTCCCTGGTGTCATCAGGTAGTTTCTGCATCGTGCAGCTGGAGGCAGGGTTTAGTGTATTCCTGCTGCGTTCCTGCTTGTCACATATTCTGGGCCACATTGTGGAACCTCCTCTTTACGTAGCGCTTCATGTCGTTTAGCAGGTGGATTATTCTGCGGAGATGGGCACTACTCGATCCGCTCCTCCACAGAACTTCAATGTTTCCATTTTTTAAATACTTTGTGACTTCGTGTCTGTGCCCTGACCCGCGTAGGACAGGAAGTGATCCCCCCTGTGACCCCGTCGCTAAGCAATCATGACAACACACGTCAAAGGAATTCGATGTCATAGCAGTGTTATGGTGGTATTACATCCCAAATGTGAACCAATCAGATACCTCGATTTGGGCTACCCATTTTATAAATCCAATTATACTATGGCCACTCAGACTTGTCTAATCTGATTGCTTCTTTGCCTCTATGTTATCTATTACAGTCCCAGTGGACTGTGGTCATGAGAAGAGGTTGATATTCACACCTAAAAACACTGGCTTTCTGCATTGAACTCTATTAGTGTGAAGAGGCTGCTGCCATATAGTGATACATAGAGAGATACATACATCAGATAGTTTAGTCTATAGCTGCTAATGATATAACTATATTCATAGAAATGAGACAGTAGATGGTCAGAAAATGGCATGGTTGTGCAGATGTTTACATTTGATTATGCATGAATGTGTTTTTCTTTGTCTGCGTGTGTGTGTGTGTGTGTGTGTGTGTGTGTGTGTGTGTGTGTAAGTGTAACCTGTCCCTCTGTCTCGCAGCCAGAGAAGCAGGAGGACAGGACAGTGACAGGGAAGGACAGATGGAGACAAAAACTTCTGTCTGCCATGGCTGCAGGAATACCGGTAACCCTTCCTCTCCTCTCCTCTCGCCTTCCTCTCTCTCCTCTCGTCCCTCCTCTTCCTCCTCACCTCCCTTTGCCTCTCCTCTCCTTTCCTCTCCACTTATTCCCTCTCCTGCAGGCTGCTGCCTATCTGTTCTTCTCTTCCTGTCCCATCCTCTGGCTTCTACAGTCCTCAGGTATTTGTTTGTGCAACTTCTTTTGCATTCTTTTTATTTTTTTATTTTAAACATTATTCCAGATATCTGATGGTCACAGCAACTACCTGAGCCTTAATAATCTTTTGAAGTGTCTTTTGTGGGACAGAAGTGTTATTTCTGGGTCTGTTTCTTAGTTGAAGTTGGACCCACAGCTCATCTCTTCCACTGTGCAGAAGAACGACATCAATAATAACTGACGGTTTTCATTCAAAGCAGTCTGCTGGATATCTAAATCTAAATTAAATATTTCCAGAGACGGATCCCTGTGTAGTAAGTAGGTCTTTAATAATGGACCTTATTGTATCACCACTGGCTTTTGAGAGCTTCAGATCTCAGTGATGGGCCTCTCATTTTTCAAATGAAACATCTCAATTATTGTAGATCTGTATGTTGGCCAGCAGTGAGGGTGCAGTGTACAAATACAGTCAGTATAAACACACACAGAGGCTCCAACTGGTGGAGTGTTTTTCTTCCAAAGCAGAGGGAAAAGGTCAACAAGTGAGTCTGAAAAGCAAGAACTTTATTTGAGCCTCAAATACTTTCTAGTTACCAAATGTGTATCAGTCCGCAGCTGAAAATAGTCGCCAAGTACGCCAAGGACACAGTTTTCATCCATTAACATCAGTTACACCTGTGCCTTTCACTGCCAGTGACAGGTCAATATGTCCGCTGAGAGGAACGTCTGCACGCCTGCTGTTGTGAATGGTGTAACTGTATTTCCACACCTGCGACCGATCGTCCGTGGAACTAAATTAAATAAAGACACAAAAGAGCGTGAGACCTGAGTGGAGACAAAGAGAAAGAGACAAGCGAGAGAGACGTACGAATAAAGAAGCAGTGGGATGGAGAGAAACAGAGGGAGGGCGGCTGAGTGGGAGTGAGGCATGCTGGGCAGGAAGCCAGGGGTAAGATTAGGGAACGTCACTATGGCGACACAGACCTCTCTTTCTCTCTCTGTTTTTTACACACACACACACACATGCTTTTGCTACCTGAGACAGTGGATGTACTGTAGCATCAAATCTGGAGATTATATTGACAAAGAATGAGCAAAGTGTTTATTTACCTGTTATCACAAGACGTCAACGTACCAAACACCACTGACGTACAGTTATCGAATAGACACGCCTTCATGACTGCTACAAATCACATAACATTCATTTAGCAATCTGGCACTTTGAAAAGTGTCTGGATATAATATGACGGACATGCAGTTCCTTCTGGTTTATTTAATAACTGAAACCACGTCTGTTCCTCAGTGACGGACTTCTCACATCATTTTAAATTAGGAGCTGTCTGCGCTAATAATGTGAGAAATAAGATTTTACATACAGGATCATTTTAAATATTTTAGCTATATGACCCAGATCTTCATTTGCTTGCATTTCTTAACTGGTTGACGATTATTTATGAATTATTTCAAACTCATAACAGCAAGTAACCACATGAGAGCTCCACGATCAAATGTGACGCATTGCATTGTGTAATTGCAACAAACACCAAATAAGGACATGTTGAACACGTAGCAACACATTCATCCTACACAACGGGAAGAAGCTGTGCTAAAAGCTCATGATTACCAACTAAACACAAAACACCGAGCAACTAAATGAACACGCAGCCAAAATACAGATTCCAACAGTATAAGTCTTTTAACTCACTGAACCAGCAGCCGAAGAAAAGAAACTTTAAACCGTTTTACATTATGTCTTACCTTTGCTGTTTTGTGATCAACACTTGTGTTTGAGAGCATATCATCACTGCTAATGGCTACTCCAGTGTCTCTGGAGTAGTGTCTCTCGTTTTTGAGTCGATTCCAGCCCTCTGTTTTCTTTTGTGTGACATGGAGGCGCCTATCCTCAGCCTTCCATGTGCTAGAATGGTGTGTCTCTCCATCGGGTGGATGAATCATACTGCGCTCATTCTAAAGGCACAGGTCAGGTCAGGTCAGGCAGTCTGACACGATATCAGTGGACATAATGAACAGAGAATATTTTAAAACAAGCAGAATATATGTAGCAGGAATGAGCCCTAAAATCACGGAAATGAGTCAGCATTTTTGCACTTGCGGGTCCCTCGTCTCAAGTGGTTAGATGCCGGAAATGCGGTCTGTGGTTAACACAAGCTGAAGAGATTTGAAATTGTTGTTCTACGATATAAATTTGGTGCGTAAATATCCGATGTGGAAATTTTGAAGCTGTCTTAAAAAAAGGCGGTTGCTAACAAGTAGCACTAAATGTCATCATGCCAACGAGTCTGCTTTTACAGCTTCGTTGTGCATAATCACGCTCATGCAACTGTAGAGTAGTTTGTTCCTAGCCTTAAGTTAGCTTTCTACTTCTGCCGATTGCATTAATGCCTCAAAAATCATAAAAGCGCCGTTCACTTGTGAAGATTATCTTTCTGACCAAAGCGTGTAAGTATCACTAACATTTGTTTGCCATCGAGCGTGTTTTCTGCATTAATCGAAAATAGCTTGACTTGTGACCAAAGACTTGACACTTAACTTGGACTTGCAACAAGTTACATGTGAGCATCACTTTCGCACATCGCATTGTTGGTGCTGAAAGGATTTATTGTGCAGCGCTAGTGTGTAGATACATGTCTAACTGTATCAAGTTTGCACATAATTCCGAATGCTGAGAGAGAGAGAGAGACACAGAGAGAGGAGGTTGAGTAGAGGGAGCAAGTGACCTAGAGAAATAAAGGTTGTCTCCGTCTCGAGATGAAGGCTTTGCTGGGCTTTCCTCAACGGAGGTAACAAGCCAAATATAACACCCGACCCATTTACTACAGCTATTCACTGTGACGGCTGTCCCTACCAACCATCACACACACACACACACTCACACTCCCAGTCTGAAGGTCTTTTCGTCCCCAAATAAGTCCTTCCCTGAGGTTAGTCAACCTGTATGTGTGCCTTTGTTTAAAAAAAGAAAAGACACGAGCAGAAAAGCTGAAAAGTGTCTTGCTTGAAATTAAGGTCTTGGCCCCAAAAAGTTATATTTGATAAACCGATTTTTATGGCTGGACATTAAAAAAGCATTGACATTTGGTTATTGAGAATTATTAACGAGTCCTGCTGAGGGATTATTTCATTTGCAAATGAAATTTGTTATCCCTGTTATCTCTGGGGCAAAAGATGGCGGGGTCGGAGACGCACTCAGCTGTGTTATCACTATTGGCCGGGGGCCAGTTAGGAGTAGTGAGTGAGGAGTCAGCAGGCAGTCAGTGGCCGTATATAAAACAGTATATACATACTGTATGTTTCAATTATTAATATTATTTAAAATGTACTATTTACAGGTTCAACAAAACCGCGTTAAAGGAAAGAGCGTTGCGTTGGATGACGTTGAGGTTGTTGTGTGGATGTTAAATGTCCGTGTCTACAGAGTAAGCGTGCACCGTGCCAGTGTATCCACAAGATGGTGTTGTTGTCTTGCTTATTTGCATATTGAAGACGTTTCAACGTACAGGCATCATTCTGTGGTCTGTGTGTAAAACCCTTGCCTGCCCATATAATTATCTCCCACTGGTTTTGATCTCAGGGATCCCATGCCATAAACACTCATTAGATTGACTATGACGGTGGAGTCAGCAATTATTTCTACCTCCCTGTTGAGCACCGGCGGACCCTTCAGAACTTTCAGAATCCCGCTTTCACAACGCAGTCTTTGGATTTTTCTGTCTTTATTTCATGAAGAAGGAGCACAAAATAACAATACAATCTTCACTTTTGTTGCCACTCCTCGCCCTCTACAGGGAGGTCAGAGGTCAGCTAGTTCAGTCTGTCGTGGTGGTGATTACTTGTCCAGATATACAAGGTAGACTGCCTTATAAAGTTCTCAAAGAGTCCAGGCATGACACAGCAAAATGACCTTATATTAAATAATTTACTACCTTCTTTTACTATTCAATTATAATTAATACACATATTCACAACGATGGCTTTACTGATCCACGTTTTATGCACACTCTTTTTTTAAAAATCCCCATATTAGTGCCTGGAAAGGAAAACACTTGTTCCCAGCTGGTCTCTGAATGTAGGATGCAAACTGTAAAACGGACTATTGTGCTCCTTTATGTCTCCCTTTTGAGACGTGGAAGCACTTCCTGTGGAGGCGGTGAATAGCAGATGCTGCTCAACTCTCCATTCGGCTTTTACGAACCGTTTGAAAGGCGTAAAATGAACTGTGACAATGCTTTTCACACTTGAGAGATAGATTAGCTTTTTTTAATCAATGCAAACATGTGGGGGAAAAAAAGCTTCTTTTTCTTCCTTTCTTCTCGTTTATGACGTCTCAGTAGGCGGCTCTGTGTTCCGCATCACAGATTTCCCAAACAAAAGTTAATAAAGCATCGGCCATTGTATGTGTGACTGCCAACTTTTCCATCTCTCTTTTCCTCCCATGTTTCCCCCTGTCCTCCCTGTCAGGCTGCCATAGAGAAGTTGACCTGGAAAGACCGTCTTCCTGGATACTTCATCAACGTTTCCTCTATCCTCTTTATGGTTCGTACATACAAAGCTGCCTAATGCTCTGCTTAGGATTATACATTTGCTCAGTATGTGTGGATGACAGCACTTTAAATGGAAAGATAAAGACACAGTTAATGTACATAAATGAGAATATGATTGACCTACTTCTATGTGGTCTTTGAAATATTAATTCCTGCCTCGGCACTGCGACTATCAGACGAATATGGTCGAGAAATTACTTATTTATTTTCTTTTATTTCTTCCTTTCTGCTCCCAGTTTTGCTTGACGTTTTCAGCCGTTTTCGGCGTCATCATCTACCGCATCACGGTGTCGGCCCTGATGGCGATGAGCCCCGACCCGGACACCAAGTCCAATGTTCGGGTGACGGTGACGGCCACCGCGGTCATCATCAACCTGGTGGTTATTCTGATCCTCGACGAAATCTACGGTGCCGTGGCATTGTGGCTGACTGAGCTAGGTACAGAAATACAAACGGTCATTTGCTCTTATAGCGAGGCGACTTCGAGAACCCAATACGTTGCAAACAGTTTGTCATCAGGGGTATGCTACTTTTACAACATATCTTATATCTGCTAAATATCCAGCTTTGATTTGCCTGATTCAAATTCTTATGTGATACGATAATATTATCCTACATGATGCCATATTTTGAAAACGTTTAAAAAAAGCACAAAAGTCACAACTGTTTTCATGTAATCATCATCAGTATCCGTGAGTATTTGTGTGTGCGAGACACAGAAAGAGTCTTTCTGCTTCTTGGTGGACAGTTTGATGAAACTTTGATGTTTTCACGCTCCAGTCATCCCATCAGTAATCCCAGGAGGTTTTAACCACACTTACATTCATATTCAAAACCTCTGAAATAGAGGGAAATAATGGGACAGAGAAGTGTGAGAAAGAGTGTGTGTGTGTGTGTGTGTGTGTGTGTGTGTGTGTGTGTATGTGAGAGAGAGAGAGAGAGTGCATGGATATGCCCTGTGAAAAGTGCTAGTATTTTAACCTACTTCCAGCACAGTGATCATCTTATGACTTAAATTCAAGAGTCAGACCGACAGAATCACCCCTTCAGTTGCTACCAGCCTGGACTAAAGACACACACTGAAGAAAACCTTGAACATGATAACACGAACACAATGATAGCCAGACCTCAACATATGCTCCCCTACATTTGTTAGCGCTGTTAGCTGCAAACCGCCAGCTTAGCTGTTTCCGCGTGTAGAGTCGTGTGGAGGCAATACCTCAACTAATTACTGTGTAAACGTGCACATAAATGACACGTTTATGAGGATTATCCTGCTTATGATCATATACGGGATATGATCTTTACATGAGCACAGAGAAACTGGGTTATATACACGTTAACGATAAATACTAGTAACGCCGTTCCTCATTACTGGATTCTGTTATTTTTTTCAAAAACAAACCAAAGATGATGTGTCAGCTTGTCGGTTTCTTTCGGAGTACTCCAGCTGGCATATTTTGGTTTCTCATAAACGGGCTGGGGGCTTATCCCGGCTTCTTAAAACAAGATATCGTGTTTACATGTGCAAACACATACACAGGATTCTCCAAAAAAAAACAATTATAAACGTGTTACTCATTTTCCACATTCATAGATACTCTAAAGTTGAAATTAAGCGCCTTTGACATTCTCTCCAACCCGCTTGCCGTCCTCACAAAACAACACCATGCCAAATATTTCTTACAGTCCCACGTCACCTGTCTTTCAGAGATTCCCAAAACAGAAACCAACTTTGAGGAGCGTCTCATCCTGAAAGCCTTCCTGCTCAAGTTCATGAACGCGTACGCGCCCATCTTTTACGTGGCCTTCTTCAAGGGACGGTAAGTCCTGCGCGTGTGTGCGTAGGAGTGTTAGTGCAGCACTGTCCTGTGAAACAGTCCTGTGACAGTACGTGTTTCAGCTAACCCAATGAGTTGCGTGGAGCTGCTCAGTCCTAATTGTGGGTTTTCTCGCAGGTTTGCTGGTCGACCCGGAAACTACGTGTACGTCTTCAACGATTATCGGATGGAAGAGGTTCGTTACCCATCTTTGCATCCGTGTTTCCTTTTATTTGGCTGAATGAGTAAAAGGTAACGCGATAATGAATGAATGTACAAACGAGGTGCGTGTTTCCCTCAGTGTGCGCCAGGAGGCTGCCTCATCGAGCTGTGCATTCAGCTCAGCATCATCATGCTGGGCAAGCAGCTGATCCAGAACAACATCTTTGAGATCGGCATCCCGTGAGTAGACTGCATTACTTCTTTATTTGTATGTGCTCACTTGGTGTGTAGTTTTCTAAATCTGGAGACATGGAACGCAGAAGTGTTTGAATAGCCAACACTACTTCTATGGCCTCATTCTTTGACACCTAACACACGTACCTACACACACACACACACACACGCATGCTCGCTCCCAAGCACTTTTAATTCCCCTCTTGTTCTAATAAAATTCCTCCCATGTCCGCACGGTGGTTCTTCTTCTTCAGCTCTTACATGCTAATCCCAAAAGGGGTCAGATGTCAGCTCTGTTTAGAGCAACTGTCACACAACAGAGGTGCCTTTTTTGGCCTCAGGGCCGCACCGTAGCGGTTGCCGTGAGCGCAGCTTGATCTCCCGTCCCGTCAGGTGAGCCTCATCAAACACAGCTGCTTTTCTCCAGGACGTCCCGAGGGATCGGCGTGCCGCGGTGCATACCGTCTACATACAGTACCATCAACTCATCTGTTTTACATTCATCCACTTAAAAGCCTTCGCACCTGGGAGCGCACCAGTAAAAAAAAACACAGACTTCAGGCAGTGCATCAGAGGTTCAAACCATTGTACCCGACCCTAAAAGCTCCTGTCTAAAGATGGAAGTCTGAGGTCACCACCACATCCTCCCTGAGAGGAATCAGGCCTATTGAGACTTCACAGTAGCCTCATTCTGAGCTCCCACCCATGAGACCAATACAAGTGACTGGCCCAGAACGGCCATGGCTCGTTGAATTATTTAACAAGGGCGTACTTTTTGCCCTGGACAGTCCCGTTAACGTACTGTAACATATTGAGGTTTGAAATGTGGACTACAAATTGTGCAGCTCCCGAATTGGGGCACAGTTTGTGTGCATTGTGTGTTGTAGCGGGGGAGAGACGGTTTGAGGAAAAGATGCTGCGTGATATACTTTTTTTTAAAAAGACGCTTCTGAAAACTTAGAGTCATCCCGTTTTTAGGTTTTCCTCAGTTTCAAAGTAATCCAGTGATAGTTTTCTGTACATACATGGGGAGGCTGCCAACAGGAGCTGCTAATAGCTAATTCTGCATACTTCTTACGCTTCCAATTTGTCAAAATCTACTAAACAGGCTAAAAACAACAGGGCTCAAGTTCCAGCCCACAGTGTAAAACCTCGTTCGTGGGGTGTGGGCGTTGAGAGAGTCCAGTGTCAGACTTTGAAAACCGTTGGTATATCACGCACAGTGAGAAGACAAATACATCATTTGGTTAAGTGTACTTCACACTGTGATGGTTGTCATAATGTATTTCATTAAATTTAATAACTCCTATTTTCCTATTTTCTTTCATTATTTAAAGCTGTATTAAGTGTTTTGACCACTAGAGGGCAGAAAAATACCTACATACTCACAACAACACAGCCCCAAAATGCTGTCCAAATTATGATACTTATGGTTTACCTGGTGAACATTAGCCTACTTACACATGAAGCAGACATCATTCCATGTGGAGTCATGTTTCTGATGGATGTAAGTGTAATATTTGAGTGTCGTTTAAAAACCCAACTCCTTAGAAAATATGGAGTTCTTTGGCTTGTCTGAAAGGCTAAAATATGTGCAGGTTGAATGAAATAACCTGATGCTTTTTTATACTAACTTGCTCATTAGCCGATTGAAACAGGGCAGTTGTAAAACAGGGCAGTTGATACAAAAGACGTTCACACAGAGAGTCAAAAAGAGTCCTGACCTACATCCGAAACCTCTCATCTCCTTTGAGACCAGCAGCAGGGAACAGGACTGTGTGTGGTTGTGGACACGCGTGTCTGCATCTACTTTACGTGACTGTTTGAGTGTTTAAAGGACAGTAAACATTTAGATTATCACTGCCTCCCTGAATGTGCCATACTGTGTGTGTGTGTGTGTGTGTGTGTGTGTGTGTGTGTGTGTGTGTGTGACAACCACATTAATAATGCAGTCAGGCATTTAGCTGCTCTTGGTAGAGTTTTTATTAGCGCAGTAAACACAGTCACGTGCATGCACAGCAACACTTACACTCACTGCCACACCCGATAATGTGTTGTCCATTAAACACAGCCACACATGCATCGGTTCATATGCACACACATACTGTGAGTTGGAATTATTCCCACCAAGGCACATACATGGAACGCTTTTGTACCGTACCTGGCTCTCTCTGTGCTCTCCCACGAACACCAGCCTACTGGCTGCTTTTCTCCGCTGGCGTCCAGGTTTCTGTAAGAAGTCCAGGTGGTGTGTCTGTCTCTCATGTCCCAGGGAAAGTATACTGAGTGCACATCCCGTACGCCAGTACCACCCTGCTTCACTTACCTACAAATGAGAGCAACTCTGTTATGACTGCTGTCAAAGCTGCAGTTGGTCAATTTAATAAATACAAACTTTTTGTCATATTTGCTCAAACTCTCACTGTATCCTGACAGAAGTGCATGAGACCGGTAATCTATGAACACATTAAGTTTGTCTGCTTCCTCTTTAGTGCTCCTAATGGTATTTGCAAGAGAAAGTTTGATCCGGCCACTAAAATATGTTTCTGAAAACATCGCAGGTGAGAAATAGGCAATGCAGTAAAGGAATCTTTACTCATTTAATCAGCGCTGCCTAATTTGGCGGTTTGATCTGAGTTCACGACCTCCACCAGCAGCGATTGACAGCTGAGTTAGAGACTCCTCGGCTCTGATTGGCCTTTTATTTTTCTTCGGGCGCGGCGGAATCTTGCAAATGCCGTTAGGAGCACTGTCAGGAGGCAGAGGAACCAGATTCCTTCACAGATTATCCATCTCATGTACTTCTGTCAGGATATAGTGACAGTCTGAGCATCTCTAGCTTCAAATCAAAGTGTCCAACTCTGACACGTCCTGGAATAATATCAAAAAAGACACCTGACGGCAATGCAACACACAGCAGTCTGTCATTAGATCACGTTCCTACCTGTTCAGTCACTGCTGCATTACATTTGTAAACAATATTCACAGTTTTGTATACATTTCTTTATGTCAGATTAGATTTATTGTTTTTATTTCACACTCTTACCCACTAAATGTTAGTAGGACTTCCCTTTTAAACTTTTTTTTTTCTCCCCTCCATCCTGACAGGAAGTTGAAGAAGCTGGTGCGCGCGTTGAAGGATAAAGGACCGGCGGAGAAGGAGATGGAGGAGGAGAGGCCTCCACAGCAGTGGAACCTGGACTACGCCTTGGCTCCCTTTGAAGGCCTCACGCCTGAATACATGGAGATGAGTGAGTCTGCACACACACACAGAAAAATAGTTATAGAGACAAAGTGCAGCCATTCCGGCACCAACGTAGGTTTAAAATGACTGAGTGCTCCTGTACATCCCTGAGAGGTGTTATGTAATCTGTATCTGCGAGGACCTCGTCAGGTAAAAATGAACACCTGGATTGAGGAGCATATATGAATGTAGGACGTATTTGTGTTCACACACACACACACACACACACACACACACACACACACACACACACACACACACAGTCATCAAGACCACGCTTATGACAGCATTTGTCAGATGTTAAAATGTTTTACGTTAACCTTACGAGGACCTTTACCGGAGAATTTGAATTATGACTCTTGTCCGTCACAACTAACATTGTATTTTGTCAGGTTTTAGTGTGCGGGACTTGTGTGTGTTAGTGCACTCACCCTGCATGTACAGTAATTCATTCACACTCATGTCCATCACAAACCAAAGCACATAAACACCAGAGATGAAAGGTTTTTCCTCTGTCATGCATAATCAGTCTCAGCTGTGTATTTAAATCGACGTGTTTGAGCAAGTGACACATTATTTTGAATGGCTTTCAGTTTCGTTCACCACGGCCCCCGTCTTTGGTTAGAATGACACAATTCTATTTGCTTTTTCAGGCATTTTTCTAGTTAAAAATAGAAAGGCAATGTTGTTGTTCCTCAGTTGTCTGAATTTGATAGCAACTGACACCGCGCTTATACAGTGCAGGCCTGTCACCGGCTACATGGAGAGAGTTAAAGAACGGAGCGGACTGACGGAACAAAACAATCTGCTAGTCTGATGTTTTTTAGACATGTATCTGTAGATGTTTTGGGAGTAAGTGCTGCAGCGTGGCCTTCTAAAGATCTGTAATGTAATCAGTGCAGAGATCGCATTACATCTTTATGTATTTAACACGTTGTAACTCAATGTCCAACCTGTTTTCATGCAATCATGGTGAATGGCTACATTGGTGAATTCAGACCCTCCTTTGAAAACTGAGGGTCTGACAGTGGCCCGGCCAGCTAATTAAGAATAAGATTATTCTTCATTTTTCCTTCAGGTAATGTTTCTGTACAGTTAGCCAGCAACTAATATATATATATATATATATATATATAGATATAAATATATATATCTATATATATATACATTTTGGTGTGAGCTGCCTAATTTTGGAGATATCGGCCGTAGAGATGTCTTCTCTGCAGTTTAATATATGTATCAACAAAGTGTGTGGATTAAGAGTAAAAATATATATAAAATATAAAAACCCCAAAATATTTCTATTTTGGGGTTAACTGTCCCTTTAAGTTCAGTCATAGGTTAAATAGTTTAATAGTTTAAAGGGGGGTGTGTGGGGGGGTGATGTCCCAGTAAAAGAAGACAGATTCACTGCCTGGGGGGGGGGGATTACTATATGGAGGTGATAAAGAGCTACAGGTGTTGGGTTGTCTGAGGACGCACACACAACTGAACTGAATATTTATTTGAAGGGATCAACATTAAAGACTGAAATGCATTTATTAACTCTGTTGACATTTAAAACATATTTCGGTAACATGTTTAGCTACGTTCTGTCACAGATGACAGCAGAAAAAAGAAAGACATCAAAGATCCCCTCCAAACATATTTAAGACTGATAAAATCATCTAGTCACATTTGTTTCAAAGTGTAACTTTTGAAGCTAACCCCTACTTTCTCATGTTTCTGTGTCTGAGTGACGCTGAAACCTGCCTGTGAGCTGGGAGTTCAATTGAGGATTCAAGAATGATTTATTGTCAGGGTTGCGCAACCAAATGCAGTCATAGCCTATTTACAACACAAGAAAACCATGACAAAACAAAACAAAAGAAGTTTTGCATTCCTGTATTTATTTTTTAATTTTTTGCCTCGGTAGAAAAGTTAATAGCAGCAAAACAATTATCTGGGCAGATAATATGGCCGACATCCGCTTCTCAAGGTCCGCTGCACTTTACCCTCTGCTGTTAATGAGTGTATTCTGTCTTAATGCCATGCATGCTCCAGTAATAAACACAAAGAGAAAACAAATGAAAACAAAAACGTAGCGAGGGTCATGAGAGCTACTGACCGCTGCATCTACAGTATCAAGGTAACGTTGCGGCCACTAACAGGGTTTATTTTCCCGCCACTGACGGGCTCCGGTTGTAATTATAAATAGAACTCAGAGAGAATAAGAAGGTTTGACTTTCCCTTTCACTTGATCCTGTCTGTCTGTTATTGTGTCAAAGTCTCGAAGAGAAATGTTTGAATATCGCCAAACAGTATTCTGCATGATGCCGGCGTTTCCACTGTGTTCTTCTTCAGCAACGCGTCTTCTCTTTGAGCGAGACTCTTTCCCATCATGTTGTCACACAGTAACTATAGTCTAGATAGGATTACATCGCAGCCCGTGAGCTGGCCCCCCCCCAAACTAGTTATGATGTCACAGAAAACGTTTTGTACAGATTAATCTGAGATTTTATGTAAACACAGAGAAACTTCCCTTTTCAGCAGGTGAATGCGAAAATAGCCTTCTAGTGTTGACGTCACATTCAAAGGACGTTAACAACAAGCAGAACATTGCTGACGTAAACACTTGGAGTCTGAGAGAGTCCATCTTTCCCATGAATTTAGTTCAAAGAAGCAATAATATTAGCATATTGCATTAAATATTAAATACAAGACGGTGAGAACTATTTAATCCCAGAGTCTAGAGATCGGAGTTAGTTCATGCTCTAAATGTGAAAAAGCAACTACTGTCAGGATAATATGACCAAAAGTTAGTTGTGTTAAAGTTACCAACTGTAGCTTTGAGTTCATTTCTGACCTTCAGTCATGTTTGATGGAAGGTGCAGCTCATCAGAACCTCCAGTAATGCGTCTATGTCCATAATCTGCGTCAGCACTTTGTGCATCTATGATTTAAAGACACAGTAGTCAGCACACTGAGGATATCTAACAGCTGCTTCAAGGCTCCAATGTATACATGACTTACTTCTGTACACATAGAATAGAAGCAGAAATGAGCGATAAATGAAAAGAAATAGAATCAAGGTGAAATGTCATTAAGGAACGGGGTTAGAGCAGCACCTAATGAGGCTCTACACACACAATACAAAAGGATCAGTTACATCTGTAGAGTCCCTCCAAAGTTGTATTATTCATCATTCCAGCTCTGTATCACGCCTCTTTTATGTCGCGGTGCCTAAAAGACATTGGCAAAGGATACACCGCCGTTTCCTCGCTCTCAGCTCCTCCAGGACCTCCTTCTCTCCTTGCTCCTCGTCTCCTTCGAGGTGCATTTAAGGGACTGGAAGATATTCCGCGATGACGGTGGGAGAACAATTTCCAGGTCACTGGAGAACAGAGGACACGAGGAAGTCAACACCCAAAGCGTTCAGCAAACATGCAGCAACAAGCTTGACTTTAGTGATCAGCAACACCCGTTTGTGAAGGATTGTGAACTAGTAAAACCGGCTGGGAGCCTGGCCCAGGGTCAGAGAAGATTTCGGGGAGATTTTAAATAGCAAGTAAAGCTTTGGCTTCTACTAAAAACAGACATTTATTTATGATTATGTTATTTTGTTCTCGCAAGTTCTTGCAAATTTCTCCAATGATGACTAGTCTGAGAGCGGCGCTGAATGGGTTCAAGCAGCTCTCCTGTGCTTTATACGCCCTCATTCATAAATTCTTGGAGAGCATACAAAATCATTTTGTGGGACAAATTGCAGGCTCATTCTTTTCTGTAGCTTTTGCTGAGACCAGCCTGCATACGCGCGTTACCCAGAAGGCCGCCCGTCCGACCTTAAAGGGGAAGGCTCCCATGACGTGGCGAAACGTCAACCATTCATATCTTTTCTTTCACCCTCTTCCTCTCCAGCTCCAGGAAAAAGTCCCGGTAGCCAGTTGTCAGAGCTAGTTAACGACATAATACGTCAACGAGCGCTCGAGCAACGCGCCGAGGACGTAGCTGGCCACGTTTAGCCGTTCGGTAGATTTGGTCTCTCGTAGTGTGAACATCGTAGAAGCCAACTGGGCTTATTTAAAGCCTCCACCTATACAATATTAAAACTTCCCAATATTACAGAGAACATAAAATAAATATGCACAAGATATGACTACGCAAAATATTATTGACAAGATGTTTTTACAAGACATGAAATATCTCATTCATGAATGACTTTTCATCCAGTGGGCAGGATTGGACCCTTTGGTCAGATACAAGAACTAGAACTGCTAACACCATCTGTAGATTTAGGTGGAATCAAGACGCTAAGTTAAATAAACCAGAGTTTTAACACCGTCTAGAAGCTAAGCTGTGCCATAACATGCTAATGAGGCCAGAGGGAGGATGGTCGAATGAGGGGAAAACAGAGAGAAGCTGATGTCGCTGCAGGGCAAAGCCAGGAATGTAAGAAATGTCTGAGCTCTACATGCAAACACACATAGCTGTGAGATGTATGAATGGGTAGCTCTGGGTTATGTGTGTGCGTGCATCCTTCTTTGTGTGCGCCCGGGCCCGGCCTCGAACCCGTCAAGCTCGGCTCAGATAGATAGCGAGGGGTTATTCTAAGCTCGCCCTCTAGTGCTCGCCCCGCTCCGCTGTCGTATTTTCTTCCTCGCCGCTCTTTGTCTCGGCGCGGCGCCCCGAGGTGAGGCCGTCAGTCTCCGGCTCGCTAGAAATCCCCGTTCCCACACTGCTAAGGTTCCACCGCTCCATCTTTCTCATGTTTCCCTCTCCGCATTCTTCGGGTGCAGGTGACGGTGGTTTCGAGCATTTATTGACAGTTCATAGCAGCGATAATGTGAAAGAGGTTCTATCTTTAAATCAATGAGGTAATGACACCTTGAGTTCTTGATTGCTTTTCTCGCCTTGCCTCTAACCGTACTATTTAAAACACTTCTGCATCAGGCACACTACTTGTGTTTTACATAGTAAGGGTTTAGCGAAGATGCATGTGTTTGGGAAGTAGTGAGCCTCTGGATGAATCAGAGTTGGATTATACTTCCCGAGTTGCAGCCTTAATGCAGCTGATCTCTGACCTCCACGAAGCCGAAAGGAAGCTGGAGTGGCAAGCCTGGACTAGTCTTAAAAGACTACTGTCTAAGTGGGCGGTGGCAGTGCTCCACACTGGAGGCTCCACACTCAACAATTCAGCAAAAAGTAGGCGCCCCACCTATTCGACATGCAACACAACACGTTCAGAATGTTTTCCCATCTTAACTGTATTAGGCAATTTAGCTATTTACTGCTATTTGTCTCTCCTCTGCTGCGTACTGGGCTGCAGGAGTCAAAGCTGTTTCCTCCCACAAGGACTAAAATGATATCTGTCGTGAATGAGTGCGTTAGACTGTGATACTAAGTCTGTAATGGTACCAGGCATCTCTGTCTCTCTGTCTCCAGTCCGCGCTGTCCAGAAGTGCGACACAATTGCAACTATCCAAACCCAGGAATCACACTTGCAAAATCAATCTGCACACGTTGATGAATGTTACTTTTTAAGCGTGCACCGTGAACCTGCCCTGTCAGGGCCTGCAAGGCCTTCTCTGCTGGCCTAAACAGAATCACAAAGTTATATCTATTTTATAATTTAATAATTTTTCTTAAATACACTACATGTATTATAATTTATAAAAATATTTTTCCCACTATCTTATTTTCTCATTGCACAGCTACTGTCTTCCTCAGTTGCTCTGATTCCAGTGCAGCTTGTTTTAAGTAGAGCTTTTATCCAATCAGATTTCACCTCTGTGTCTCTAGGTAAGAAAAGAGGCCCGAGGCCTGCAGACTCACAAGTGCATCCCTTTGCACTTTAAGTGAATGGGGACGATATTGTTGATTGTCATAGTGTTCAACCAATCAGATCTTTAGTTTGACATGTTGGGCGTATTCTTTGACGTGTCAGCACCTGCTAGCCGGCCTATAATGATGTCAGCATTACGTGCAGCTCAGTGTCCATGTACAGCTCTGCCGCGAGGTGCAGAGTGTGCTGTGATTGGTCAGTGGGCGAGCACGTGACTATCGTGAAACGAAACTTAACAGCAGAGGCTTAGTCGGGTAGTGAATCACATCATGTGATGCAGCTCAGCCAATCAAATATGGGCATTCTGACTGAGTGAGATGTACCACACACCATGACACAGGGGGCTGAGACGAGGAAAGACATTGCAGAGCAGTACGTTGAATGTTCAAGTTGAAAAAGTAAAATCATAAGACGATCTTTTTGGGCTGCGACTTGTCATTAAGGAATGATGGTGGGTCCCATAGCCAGACCAGCTGAGAACCACTGTCCTACATGAGCGCAGAAAACATTATATTTTCCTGAATATAAGCTTCTGCATTTTCCAAATGCTCTAGTACTATTCAAACGTATTGCAAGTCTCGTACCTAACGGTACGTACATAGGTACGTACATTTAATACGTACATAGTTACAGCCTTAGAAACTAATAACTGTGGCGCCATCATGTGGTTATAAGGTGGTATTTCAGCTGCAGGACAACAGTGAAGGCCTAGGTATAAAATGCACGGCCCGCCACTGCGACTAGGTGATATCTGCGAGTCGCACTGGTGCTCCCAGTTCTATAATTGAGTCGCAGTCTGCAATGGTTGCAGTCCGGAGCCCTGTGTGTATGTGTGATGTGCTCTCTAATAAATTCCTGTCGTTTTTAATTATCAGACCCGGATGTTGTGTGTCTGGGTTATCTAATCAGACTGACTTACATAACACACACACACAGTTCCACACACTGCTTGATTGTAAAAAAAAAAAGAAAGTGTGGTGCAGTGGAGTGTTTAACCTTAAAAGGCATCCTCTGAAGCACAGAGCGAGTCCGGACAGACAGCGTGACTCCCGGCCAGACAAATGGCTATTCGCCAACACGTCAATCCGACGGCGGTTTAAAATGTGTGTGTTATTTCTTTTTTGTGTGTTGTGGATTCCTTTTCTCACATGTGGGCCGTCTCTCATGCCGGCAGAAATGGCTGTGGTTCCTTTTTTTTAATGCCAGCTTCACCATCGTAGAGCGGAAAGTCTTTGTTTAAACTGCCCTGCGGTAGAAAAGTGTAACTTTGGTTATCTTTACGTCTGTTACAGAGCGAGTTACGTTAAGTTGTAGCAGTGGGACTTTACGTAAGTGAGGCAGTCAGCTCTGCTAGTGTCTGGTGAGGACTCCAGCTGGAGGCTGTGCGGCCGCACTCATTTTCGACATACATTTGAATGTCATCAGCGTAATGATGATAAGAAACAACGGTTTTCTCTTTCATTTGTTCTTGCGGCAGATTCATGACTTGCTCTTAAACCGTAGAATTGTTCGTACCTGTGTGTTTTTTTTAAAGATGCATGGGATGCCATTAATTAAATTAAATTAATTACTATACGTGGATGATTATTATAACTATTTTCCTCTATTTCTCATGCAAATGACCACCTTATTGTATATTTACTGTATGGATATAAAGTAATAAAACAGACAGCTTCCTATTTACTGAATTTTATAGACTGCTTCAAACGCTTTTCAAATTACTGGGTAATTCAAATACCCTTTAACACAGTACAGTACTGTGTATATAGAATATAGCTTACTGTAGTTCAAATGATAATCAGGCTATAGCCTGAAGCAGTATTCTGCTCAGAACTACAGCAACTTAAGTAGTGCAAATAGGCTGCTAAGCAACAGCGTGGTGGTGGCTTCAGTGCATTTCAAAATGTTCAAAAGGCCTGAAAATAAACTGTACATAATTATTGCTGAATATAAATATAAAATATATCAAATGTTCCATGTGTTGTCTGTATGAAAAGACCCAAATGGAATGCTGCAAGCAAATCATTCACACAGCATTTGTATTGAAAAGCCTTGATCTGCCGGTACCGAGTACTGATCTGAAAACCAAAATGTCTATATAATTGCATATTTTGAACAGCTGTAAACTACTAACCCTGTACGGATGTGATAGGATAGCTCTCATTGTTGTATGTCCTGGCTCAGGCTAAAACCTTTGTAAAACATGAACAACTCTATGCAGAGAATAAATGCCACAGGTCTGCCTTTGATTATCTCATTTGACAGATCTTCCAGCGTAACATAATGACAAATGTCTGGCGGCTGCCCGATGTGCATGTGCAAATCTCAACAGAGATGAGAAAGAAGCGAGATGGCTCGCTAATTAGCTACTTTAATCATCCATTTCAGATGCAGAAGTAGCTAAATATTCCGCCATCGTCTCTGCAGGATGTAGGAGTGATTTTAACAGTATATATGTCAGCGTGTGATGACTGCCTCTCTCTTCTCTCCAGTCATCCAGTTTGGTTTCGTCTCTCTGTTCGTGGCTTCGTTCCCACTCGCTCCGCTCTTCGCTCTGCTCAACAACGTCATCGAGATCCGACTGGACGCCAAGAAGTTTGTTACGGAGCTCCGCAGGCCGGTCGCCATACGTGCTAAAGACATCGGTAAGCTGGTGTGACGCACGTAGAAAGAAGGAGAAGACTACCACACAGAGCACAACTATCTCCCATTCTCCCATACAACCAGGGTTATAAACCCAAAGATCAAACATCAGATTTGATATGGTTTTGTAGATACTAACAGCCAATGCAGCTTGAACCATTTTCTCTCTCTCGTGCTCTTCTTTCTATAGGTATATGGTACAACATACTGAGTGGAATGGGAAAATTCTCCGTCATTATAAATGTAAGTATTAATGCATCAATCTACTTGTTGAATTAATGATGAAGGCACAAGAAATGCATGAATGATAGTAATAATTGCAGAGAAAGCAGACATCTCTACCCACACAAAAATAATCTAGACTCCGCACTAAAAAGAATATGGATTTGGGATTTTCGTAACATGACATGAAATGTTAAATGTTTGTAGCAGTAGCTCAAAGTGGGTCTCGTAAAAGACTCTACTTCAGTGCTTGAAGTGGAGAAAAATAAGTGCCAGTACTCCCCTTATTCTCTGGTTGGCATGTGTATTTGCCGGTATCTGTAAATCACTATTACATTCTGAATTTATACAGGGAATAACAGATATTAGGGGATATTGGGTTTGGGAGGTCTTCCCCAAGACAATTTCAAAGTTGTTTTCCCTTTGGACCAAAAAGCTTCAAGATAAAATATCTTTATTGTAAGTTAAATAATAATATTTTATAGTTAACACATATTATAGCCTTTAAACTGATTATTTCATTATTCTGGAAATTATTACTCTTCACAATCATAATCTGTAACTCAAAAGAGCAGATTCAGAAAACTTAAAAAAAAAGAATATTAAAAAATAACAAGTTTTATTGATCATATTTATTTGGAAATAATAAGATAAACAGTTCACTAATTATATATATATATTTAAAAAAAACGCACCCTCGTTCTCATACTTTAAATTACCCATCGTTGAAATGCTAGTGGTTATTATTAAATAGAGATGTGAGATGTAATCCATCATGACCTTGTGAGGTCCCAGAGTCCCGTCTGAAACACCTTAAGGTGCTGATCTGTGGAGGTCAAGGTGTGTTGTAGAGTCAGGGAAGTTCTGTTTGGGATTTGTCCTCGGCCGGCGAACCAAATCCTATTCCGTTTACTTTTAATACCAAAGAGATTTGTGTAGGATTAAGAAAAACAAGCAGCAGAGGTTTTTCTTTATTCTAGAGCTTATGGGGCATTGGACACATATACAAACACCTAAGCTGCCCCGAGAGCTTCAAGGCAGTGGAAACCTGGGAGCAGAATTCCCCTTTTGTGCGTGTATCTTTCGACAGACTTTGTTAAATACTAAATGAATACATCTCTAAAATACGGAGTTTAGGAGAACTGTGCTTTTAAACTGAAAATGAACAGTCTGACCCCGGCAGCTCTTCCACAACCTCTTGTTTCACGGTCTGCTTATTTCTGATGAATTTTCATGACCGACAAATGTTTCTCTCTGTTTCTCCCCGGAGGCCTTTGTGATCTCCTTCACATCAGACTTCATCCCTCGACTCGTCTACCAGTACATGTTCAGTCAGACGGGCACCATGCATGGCTTCATTGACCACACGCTCTCCTACTTCAACGTGTCCAATTTTAAACCTGGCACGACACCGCAGGACTTAGAGCAAGGGGCCATCACCGTCTGCCGGTAAAAGCTCACACACACACACACACACGCACGCACGCACACACTCAAGTTATGGATATTGGTCAAAATTCTTCATTTATAATTTGCTTAATTACCTTTTTGACAGGCAGTGATAAATACTATGACAAAAAATGTAATTATTTCATTAAGCATTCATGATGAACACTCACTGATGTGTAGGGGGTTAACCCGAATAGTTGACTAATCAACAATTCAATGTAAGGAGCAGAAAAATGTGGTTAGGACATAAAGGATAATAGCAACAATAGTTGCAAAAACAGCCCAAAATAAAAAAAATGTATGATCATTTTCTTTTTACTGCCAGTTTAGTACTTTGTACATTCAATAAAACAGTCAAGTCAGCTCATCTATTTTTATAGAGGAATTCAGTTTGGGGGTTTTGTCCAAGTGGATAAAACAACATCGCTCTGTTTTGCCATAGCTCATATTTTTGGCAATAATACATAACACACTCTAGTCAACAACAAATGGCTTCCACTTCCATGCTTATTTCAAGGCTTAACCGAACAGAAGGATGTCTCTGTCTCTTCTTTGGTGCTGAAGTCCATCTCCAGCTGACTTTTCTCTTTCTTTCCAAGCCTTTATTCATATCGAGAAACATTTTAACGACAACCTGAATAACATTTGCACTTTCTTACATTCACTGGACGCAATATTTACTGTCACCGGAAACCCTAAAAGAACATCCCACTCTTTCTGTTTTGTGCCAAAAAGCAATCCAGCAGACTCAGTTTATGTTATCGCAGAGTACGTAATAAGGCAGCCAAGGCTGCAGAATTATAAGCTAGCTGGTTTTGTATCCCGACAGGGTACCAAAAATATCAGCATTTGATACATACAATAATATGTCATCTGCATAAAGTCACATATAGCGTGATGTTCAATGATTTGTGGATAAAGTAGGACTGATGCATTTGATGAGTAATAATTGCTATTGTTGATTGCTTGCATGTATACACTTAATGCACACAGGTAATCCCTTTCTGGGTGTCCAAAGGCCCTTTTCTGCATCTAGTGGAGACATCGCACAGTTTGAGTCTGAGATGGGGGGGGGGAGTTGATGATTCTACAGATTTAGAAATACAGTACACTTATTGTATCGTCTTTTCATTTTCGCTCATGCCAGTGGCAAGCATCTCTTTCATAATAATCAATATAGAGCGCTGTAGAGGAAAAGGTCATGGATGCCGGCGCCCACAGACAGAGGTCGGCCCGCTGTTACATAAGACAGCTAATAATTACAATGCAAGAATACGGCCTTTGTGCCAATGCCGTGTGGTACGTCACGCCGAGATACTCGCATGCCTCGGCGTGAAATTGGCTGGAGAATGTTCTCAACAAGGGTATGTGTCTCTGCAAGCGTGTGTCCTGTTACATAGTGTATGTACAGACTGCATCCAGACTGCTTAAGGCGACCGATTCAACTCAGTATGTAATTCAAAGTATGTCGGCTGCTCCCGACAGTTAATTCATCTTTCTTTTTCTTTCCTTCTTTTTGTTGTTGGCCCAGTTCATTTTGGGATCTAGTTGTATGGATGAATTCATGCAGGGGGGGAGGGGAAGCAGTAAAGAATGCATGGATGGACAGGGATTGGAGAGATGAGGGATGCTATTATTGAACAGAAGATGAGGTGAAGCTGGGGAAAGGGAAGTATGGAAAGATGTAGAAATAAAACAGGAAGGAGAGAAGCACTGTGGGTGTGTGGATACATAGATGGATGGTGTGACAGAGGCCAGCCACTATGGTATTAAATGTTTAATTACATTTGGAAACAGCAGTGCGAGGAAGTTGAAGAAGGTTTCTGCGTCACTGGGCAGAGCACCTCTCTACTTATCTGCAGACATGTTTTCTCTACTGTATTCACAATGCTAGAGGAAAATGTTGGTAAACTATGTCTTGTGCTTGGCGGTCAAACTTTCACCGATGTCATGAAAGAACTAGCTTTTACACTTAATTTATGTGGACCGTAAATGGTGGTTAACCATTTCTATGGAAGAATCGGATGTTGCGATAGTGAATAGTTAACAGATGCAACAACTAAAGAATTTACAGTACAGGAAGTACAGCAGCAACAAAACAGCAGCACTAGATCAGTTTGAGTGATGTTTAAAGTTGGGCTTTCATAATCTCAGAATTTCACTACATGATTAGCGGAGCAAAAATATTTCACAATAACAATATTGTCGTGCACAAAAATAGTATCGATGAAATTCATTTTTAACATTGTTTATTTTGCGTTTTGTTTCTTTTTTTAACAAATTAATTACACTCAAAATACGAATGTAGGGGGGAGGAGAGAGATTCTGTAAGCATTACTGTATATATAAAATGATTTCAGAGGCGCTGGATTATTTACACAATATTTCACGTGTGTTATTAACATGATACTAACATTTCCATTTTAAATATGGCAGTTATCACCAAGTCTGATATATCACAACCCCGAGTTAAAACCAAACTCCTGTTGGTAGATGTGATATTCTGTCGTTCACCACCCAGAGCTAATGACCAGAGGTCAACCAATCCAGAGATTCACTTTAATGTTCAATCCCTTGACAATGACAATGACTTTTACACATAAACCAACAAATAAGACCATCACTAAGATATCTTGTAGCCTCCAGCAGTCTCTAGTATTGTACTGTAAGACAACTGATCTGTATGAAGGGATTTTTTGCTGAGAAATGCAGCTTTATCCAAGCTTCACATTAACTTCCTTGTCAGAATGAGATCGAGAATAACTGCAAATGTGAACGCACTGAAATATAACATCTTGTCTATTGACTGCTTTGTTATGGTCGGTGTATGATAAACAAGTGAGGACATCACAGGGTTTAGGGGAAATTGGGTCTTGATTTTAGGAAACACAAAAAAATACTTCCTTATAATAAATGTATGTGCACGTTGCATTTAATGCTGGGTGGCTTAGCTAAGTGTCTGTTAGATGACATGGGGACTAAAATATACGATGCTTACTGGGGAAATAAATCAAGTGAGAAGTAGAGTGATTTTCTCATAGACTTCTATACAATCTGAATTCTTTTTTGAGAGGAGTCTCCCCCTGCTTGCCATTAGAAAGAATGCACGTTTAAGGCTCTTCGTCATTGACTTCACTTGTCAGACCTGGAGGTTGCCACCTGGTAAACTGGATTTTCCACACCCCATTTGTCCACGGCAGATATGTGATGATGTAAGTAGTCATACCTTTTCTCATGAAATGTTTATCTTTAAAGGTGATTTAGGTCTAAGCCCTGCTGAGGTACCACTGAGCAAATATGAATTCTCTGCCAGCCTCTGCAGTCATTTGGCTGACCTCCATGTGGAGGGGGCAACACTTTTTCTCTGTGTTCCTGACATGTTCTGATGTTAGTTGGATTTAAATCAAATTATTATTAGCAAGAGAGCTCAACAGCGATTTAAAGAAAGCAAAGAACAAATACACAACATAAACAGATAAATCAAGGACAGTGAAAGCAAGCGAGAGGACAAGTTAACTGCAAACTCTTGTGATTAGAAGGCTTTATATGTTGCAAAGCATTGACTCGTCCTGGGTAAGACTTTGAAAAGTATTACGAAAGCAAGACTTTTAGGCTTCTACCTGCTTAATATCAAGACACTGCTTGTTTCTTGAGCTGACTGGAAGTTGGCTGTAGTAACCCTCTTAGCACCTGGAAGTCAAATGAAAGCCAAGGAATAATGTGATGGATTATCGTGTCATTTCTGATAGAATGATTCCTCTAGGTCAGGGGTATTCAATTAATATTCAAAAAGGTCCAGTTAGAGAAAATGTCCTCATGTAAAGGTTTGGAACATCACAATAATGTCGACACAGCACTATGATTTAGTGCCAGACATATATTGAAGTCTAATAGTTGCATCAACGTCTGTATGTAGTCAACAAATGACTGTCAAATCAAATAAATAAAGTTCAATTTAATTATAGCCCAACAATATTAATAGTCCGTTTTCAAATTGAACAAGATGCATTATAAATAATATATACTCTAATAATAAATCAATATGGGCTTGATTTAGAAATACAATACGGATGTGAGTGGGTACGTTCGTGCTTTGTCTCGTAGTGGCGCTTCACATTGCAGAAATAAGCCAAGTTCATTAAGCCAAATAACAGAGACATGTTGGAAGATGGTGGCAATACAGATTTCATCCTAGTATGAAGACGTCTCATGGGTAAATGGGTTCCTTCGGTTTTCATAGCTACTGTAAGCTCTTTTATTGAGTTTTCTTTCAGCCAAATGCTCTGAGATAATTTGTCTCTGCTAAACAGGTATGCAGTATATATGTCTGGGGCTTTTATTGTGAAAGGTAAGAACGTTTTTCAAAGTTAGAAGAAGTAATAAAGTTTGCCTTCTTGGTTGAGCTGAGACTGATGGCCATTAGTTTTTCAGATATTTGGTCAGAAACCAAAGAATTTAATACATTTAAATTATGACATGATGATGTCGCTAGAGGGAAAGTATTTTGGAATAAATCATCTGGGCAACGTGAATACATGTACCAAATCTAAAGACAATCCATTCAGGGTTTGACAAGAAATTTCACAAAATGTCTAAAATGTCAACCCCATGTTGGTGCTAGAGGTTAAGTCAGGGGATTAACAAAGTCAGCAGGATTCATCCTCTGGAGACCATGAATGTCTTTACAATGTTGCATGGCAATCCATTAGATAGTAGTTGAGATATTTCAGTCTGGACCAAAGTGGACTGACCCTCATTTCCATCCCTAAAACAAGCAACGCTAAAAAAATCTGGAAAAATCAAGTTAAATAACTTGCCAGAAAGGAGCATTGGGAAAAGATCACAGAAAAATGGAAGGCAGACGCAAAGACATTTGCCGCGTTTCCACTGCATGGCTCGGCTCGACCCGACTCGATCAGCCTCAAGTTTGGGAACAGGTCTTTTTCTCTGATGCCGCGTTCCGACTCAGTGTAGGCCGGATTCTCACGGTGAAGGTGCTC